ATTCAAATTCAGGACTGAAAAAAAATGACCATTAGTTATTTAGATAATAAGTTAATATTATAAATTTTAAATAAATAAAAATCATTAATTATTTAGAAAATATATAATTAAATTAAAGATAAAAAATACATATCAATTTTAATTTTTTAAAAATTTAAAAAATTTTAAAAATTAATATTAAATTATATTATTTAATTTAATTTAAATTTAATTTAAAATTTAAAAGTTTATCTTATTAAATATTAATAATAAAAAAATAAGATGTCCTAATATTAAAAATATCAAAATATTTAATCACAATCATTAAATATATAAAGTTTAATGTGAATTTTAATTTTATCAAATTTATCATATAATTATTATTATAGATCTTGATATTTTTAATATCAAGACATTTTAATTTTTTTAATATTAATGTTTAAATTTAAAAATTAAAAATTTTAAATTAAAATTTTAATTTTTAAATATAAATTTAGACATTAATTTTTTTTAAGTTTAAATTGATATGTATTAAATTATAAAAATAATATAAAAAATTATTCCTAAATTATTTTTCTTTCTTAAATGATGCCACGGCGGAAAGAAAGATAAAAATCCATAACTCGTATCCTTTACCAAATACCAATGCAAAACCGCTGTCGTGAAGCCGGACCCAACCCAACCTTATGCGAGCCCAATTATCACTGCATCGGGTACCAAACCCACGACGCCTGGGCTTCACATTGGGGCATTCGTCTTTTACTCTCTTTTTTTTTTTAACCCTTAATGGTATTGGTGTATTGGGTAAGAGTCCTTACATTGTAGGCACCAAAAACTTTAGCATTTCTAGAACCAAAAAATACTTTATTTATTTTTTTTTTTTAAGTATAGTAGATCTAAGAGAGATTCCGTAATTCCCAAACTTCCTATATATATATATATATATCTCAATTTCATTTCTCATTCCCAAAGTCTCGACTCTTTTTTCTAAAGCAAATGTACAAATACAACTAGCTTATTTATTGTTAATTTGCTTGCTAGTACGATTTCGAGTGGATTTTATTTTATATTTATGTTTAAATGATAATTGAATAATAAGTTGAAAATGATAAGATTATTTGGTATAATAGTTTTTAATTATCTATTAATAATTTATTAAATTTAATGAATAAAAGTATTTAAATTAATAATAATAATTATTATTAATTATTAAATATTAATTATTAATTATCAATTATATTAAAATAATCAACCCAAACAACCCCTATAACTCACCACATCAATACAAAAAATGTTGTAAAAAAATTTACGGTATAGCACAACCTAACAAAACACAACACAACACTGTAAATGAAGTTTTCTTCTTTTTTTTTTTTCTTTTTTTTTTTTCAATATTGAGTCATTTTTAACCAAAAAAAAAAAAAAGGGACAGCAAATAAAATTATTAAACGGCACCTTAATTTTCTTTTGGTTAAAACTTCATTTTGGTCCTTGAACTATTGCATGGACCTCTGATTTGGTTCTTAAACTTAAAAAATCCCTGATTTGATTCATACTGTTTACCATTTTTACCCCGATTTGGTCATTTCGTTAAGTTTTCATGTTAATCAATGGACAAAGACAACAGAAACATTACGTGTCACATAAAAATTGACAAGTTAGCAAAAATAGATAACATGGCATTCCAACTCATCCCATGTAAAAAAAAAAAAAATTCGTTCCTCTCTTTCTTCAACTTTTGCAAACCCTAACATGTCAATCAACCTGTAACATCTCAACCAATCTATTCATCTCAATCAACTTTTACCCTTGCTGGTTCTTCATCATCATCGTCAAACAACAAAACCCACAAAAAAATAGAATTTTTAAAAAAAATTTTTGCCCCTAGATTCTTTCGAACCCAACAGCACCCTTTGTTTCTCCTTCCTTTTCCTTGCCTTGCCTTCTTGATCAATCAATTCTTCATCTTCATCAATCATCAAACAACAAAACCAAAAAAACAAAAAAAGATTTTTTTTTTTTTTTTGCGCTTGCGTTCAATGGAACCCGGCGCTTAGGTTCCTTAGAACCCAGCGCTTAGGTTCGAAGGAACCCGTGCCTGGTTCGATGCAACTGGGTTCAAAGAAACCTAGCAGCACCTTTTCTCTCTCCTTGCTCTTCCTTGCCTTGCTTTCTTCATCAATCATCAAATAACAAAACCTTCAAAAAAAAAAAGATTTTTTTTTTTTTGCCCCTAGGTTCGATAAAACCCAAGGCTGGGTCTCATCAAACCTAGGCATGCTAGGTTTCTTGGAACCCAACTATTGGGTTTGAAGGAACCCAGCACGCCTGGGTTTCGAGGGGAAAGAGAAGGAAAAAGGAAAAAAAAAATTTAAGTTTTATTTTTCATAATAATATTATTTTACATTATTATTTTTTCCATGTCATCACTCTTTTGTCACATTGTCTTCCACGTGTATTAATGTTTGACATGTCATCTTACAACAGTAAAGTAACATGCCATGTCACTAGATTTTTAACAGAAAGATCAAATCGAGGTAAAAATGGTAAACAATAGAGATTAAATTAGAGATTTTTTAAGTTTAGGGATCAAATCAACAATCTATACAATAGTTCAGGGACCAATGGGCGTTTAACCTTTTCTTTTCGCCCATTCTCAACTATAGTTTTCTCTAGGGTTATGCACGCAGATGTACACTCCAAACAAGAAAAAGTCTTTCTTGGTAATTGATGTGTTTAATTAACTACTCCAAATCCACCTTTCACCCACTCACACGTCTCAGCCCACTCTCCCATACCGTACGAACCATGTAGCCCATTCCACGGACCAATCCTCTCTCCTTCTCCAACTCCCATGGCGGTATTTTTGGCCCCTTCCCTTGCATTATCTGGTCCTTTGATCTCGCCACGTGGATATGTGACCCCTACATTCTGTGTGTCCCGTCTGACATGGCAGTTTACAATTGGGTTTGGCCTTCTTCTTTCCCCCAGTATATTTTCTCTGTCCATACCCCATGAACGAACGTGACTCTGTTCTTTCTACTCTTCCTCCCAATATCTTCAGTCGAAATGCCGGCTCTGTTCTTCGCTTCGTTAATTCTCTTATCCCTTACTTCTGCTCCTGCAATCTCTAGTAGTTCTTTTCAGGAAGAGCGTCCTCAACAGCTTCAACAAATTCAACCCTTTTTGCTTCCGAATCACTGCGAAGAACGATGCGGTAGCATTCAAATTCCCTTCCCTTTTCACCTGAACACTTCCTCTGCTTCACTCTCCTCTACTTTCCATCTCTCCTGCTTGAATTCCTCCGCCCTTTACCTCCACATTGGCATCGAAAGCTACCGGGTTCTCGAGTTCTTCTCTGACGGTGTCCTTGTAGATTTTCCGGGGACGTCCTCGGTTTGTCGGCAGTATAATGATTTAAAGGGATTTAGGTTTGAGGGAAACGACTACTTCGGTGTCTCTGCAGATAACGTGATCGGGTTGTACGATTGCGAGGATTCTTCGCTGTGTAAAGCGGTCTGTGAGAGCAACCACTTGCCCGGTTGCAACGGCGAGGGCGGCGGCTCCTTAGGGTGCTGTTACCCGCTTTCCGATCACAGTGTGTGGCATTTGGGAGATGGGTTTTCTGTTTTTTCAAAGTTCGGATGCAGGGGATTCTCGTCGTGGGTTGTTCCGAGGGGATCCACTACGGGGAAACGTGGGGTTAAACTGGAATGGGCGATTCCCAGAAATTCATCTAAAGGGATCTGTGCTAAAAATGCTCACATCATTAATTCCACGGCAGTGGAAGCAGGGGTGAGATGCGTGTGTCAAGAAGGGTTCGTCGGCGATGGATTTTCCGATGGAGTTGGATGCTTGCAATGTAAGTTCCTAATCTGCTCAAAATTTCATTAAATACCCCCCTGGTAAACATCAGGAAATAATGTTATATGGGCAGCCATTACCGCATTAAATTAGTTCAGAATTCTGCATCTGTGACTCTGTTTTGTCATAACAGCTTGCATCAAGAATGGACAGGAGGCATATGGTGGAGAATGCAACACCAAAAATCACGGTCAGAGGAAGCTTGTGATGGTAGCTGGTATGTTAATTAACTTTAGGACATTATGATTTTTGCATCCGCACAGAATCAAGTTCATGAAATCTTTTCTAACATGCAGGTGTTCTTGCTCCAATCTTAGTTGTGGCATCCCTATTTGCACTGTTTTGTCTATTGAAACGACCAATTAAATCAGGTACATTTCATCCCGACCAAGCTCACTATCATAGTACTATCTCGTTCCGAAAAGCTTGTAGAACTAGATTGTTCAGTTACCAGGAGCTAGAGGAGGCCACCAGAGGATTTGAAGACAATCAGAAACTCGTACAAGGAGGTAATGGAACCATTCATGCCGGTGTCCTGGCGAACGGTTCCCATATAGCCGTACACAAGGTTCAGTGCGAGAACGAGAGAGACCTCATTACCGTCCTGTCTCGGATTGAGCTTCTGTCATCTGTTCTACATCGGAATTTAGCCAGACTTCTCGGTTGCTGTATAGACTCTGGATACACTCCAATGCTGGTCTATGAGTATCCTGCCAATGGCACCCTTGAGGAACATCTGCTCAAACCCAAGGGGCAGAAATTAGGACTTGATTGGTACAAGAGGCTGTATATTGCGGCCGAAACAGCTAGTGTCCTGGCATACTTGCAATTTGAGATTTCTCCACCAATCATTCACGGTGACATCAAGTCATGTTTTGTCTTTCTTGATGAGGATTTTTCCGTTAAAATCGCAGGATTTGCTTTACTTAACTACTCCAACAAGTATGGCAATTCACGAGTTCATAAAAGTGATGTGTATGACTTTGGTGTGTTGTTGTTAGAGATAATTTCAGGCTCCAAACAACTTGACAATCCATCCGTGACGTTACAAAAGATTAAAAATGGGAAGCTAGAAGAAGTGGTGGATCCATTTTTGTACTATCATGAGCAACCAGTGTTCCAGAGAGAGCAGATAGAGATAGTTGCAGACATTGCCACCAGGTGCTTGCTGTTTGGTGTGGATGGAAAGATGGGTATGATTGATGTTGCAAGGGAGCTGGTGCACATCATAAAAGAGAGCATTGATGGAAGCAGTAAGAGAGGACCCGCTGCACTTCAAGAAACATTTTCGAATTCGAGTCTGCTTCAGATGGTATCCATGTCTCCTGAATCCATATATGTTCTTAATTAAGCAGATGATCAGTCCATTTCATCTGCTAAAAACGAAAAGTTGTAGTACCTCGTATGCTGTGTTTGCTGGGTTCTCATGTACTCTGTCCCTGTAAAAATTTTGTGCATCACTTAGAATGTAAATGCATCTCTCTTTTCAACTGAGCATCTCCTCCTCAGGGGTCTTTGCTGGTCAACAAGTTGGCCTTAAAACACTGACGGTTGACAAACGTGTGAGAAATGGGACCGCAGGAAAGATGTCCCTTAAATCCATCCTAATTATCTGCTTCCACCTTATTGACTAGTGTGCAATTTCTATTTTAAATTGCATTAGAAAAGGTAACTCTATTTCAGATTGCATTAGAAAAGGTCTCTCTTTAATTTCTTTGTATTCTCATTTATATATAATATAAGAGTTAAATCAATATAATTTTTTATAATAAGTTAACTTATTGAAACTCTCGGTTAGGAAAAAAAAAAGAAATTAAAACTTTGAATCTTAATAATATAAGTAAAGAAATAATTTTTTTAATAATTTAATGAATTACTTTACAATGTTTCTTTAAATTAATAATTTTTTGATTTAAATAAAATTAAAAATTACTATATTGATCGTTATTCCTAAGAGCTATCCTTGACCTACATGATTAGTTTGACAAATAATACACCTAATTAACTATAGCAAATAAAAAATAAAAATGTAATAGTTATAATATTTGTTGATATTATAAACTTACATATAATATATTATTATATAATTATTTTTTATTTAAAAATTTATTTATAATATTTATATATTTAATACAATAATATATCTTATTTGCATGTTCAAAAAATAATATATCTTATTTAATACTATATAAATAATATTATAACTAAATATTAACGAAACAATTATTACGGGCGAAATAGGTGGAGGCGGAGGTGAATGGGAATTTTATATTTATATTTATATTTTAAAAGAAAAGGTGATTAATTAACTATTTAAATAATTTGGTGGTTATTTTTTTTATTAAAAGTAAGAGCTTTTGATTTTAAGGTCTCGTTTGTTATAGTGGTTTTGAGGTAATAGTTAGCGATTTTAAGGTAGCGGTTAGCGGTTTTATCTAAACCGCTAAATATAGGTGTTTGATAAATTTATATATTTCGAAACCGTTATAAATAAAGTGTTTGATAAAATTTTTATTTAGCGGTTTGAGATTAGCGGATAGCAGTTAGAGTGCAAACCCCTAGCAGATTGAAAAAACTAGTTTATGTAACTTTTTATATCAAACTGCTAACAGATTAAAATTTTTTAATTTTATTTACAAATTTATCCATTTCAATTTTTTAATTTGTGGTCACATATTTTAATTAATAATTATCTAATAAATTTCAATTTTATTTTTTTTACCTTTAATGACATTAAGTGATTATAATATTTTTTTAACATTAATTTATAATTAAAAAATATATTATCTTAAAA